AATTATTTTTATATAATTTCTGGTGAAGTTTCGAACCTACTGCCAAATTTCGAATCTAACTGTTTCTTTTAACTTCATCCCTAGGTTCTTCATCAATTTTCCAAAATTTACATATTTATCCCAAACTTTTCAAAACTTACTAAATGATCCCCAATTTTTCTGAGGCCTATAGAATACTTCCTTCATCATTTCCAACCCATCTATAATTTTTCCATAATTTTCCTCACTCAAACCATTCATGACCGAAATTTAAAGAACAAGTTCTAGAAAGATTAAACATGTTCTAATCATCATACATGCTTGAATATGAATCTAGTACCTCACAAACATCAAAATCCATCATCGGATCTTTGAACACCAACAAGATTACCATGAAATATTGGTACCAAAAGATAGAGTTTTTCACGTATAACAATTTTCTATTTACAACTTACTCAAGATCCTAATTAAATTGCTTAGAAATTGAGTTGAAATTTTTCTCTTACCTTAAGAGAAACCCACGGCTTATAGAAGAAGATGAGATGAAAATGCTTCCTCATCATAATACTCTAATATTAAATAAATCTAGCACATGTCTTAATATAGTATAATAGAATTATTTTATTCAATTCAATAGGAAATTCCATTTTTTCCATTAATGAATCTCCATAATCACCATAAAACCAAGCCATCTGATTATTATCATATTACAAAGTCAAACATAAATTATTTTGACTTTTAATTCCGAAATTCCCCTTGAATTTTCAAAAATTTGCGTTTCCACTGTTTCGATTAAATCTAAAAAATTGCATATTTCCAAACCAAATTTCTCTGATCTAAAATATTAAAATAATATTTCCAACCATATTATAACATCCTTCAAATTTTCGTAAAATTCCAACTCGATCTGAAATACCGATTTTCTTAACGACTTTAACCCTTTCTAGTTTTTCTTTACTAAAATTCCAAATCCAAAAAAAATATGATTTCTATAACTCCACTATTAAGATTAAACCATCTATTTATGGAATAAAAATTCTTTTTAGGAAATTATCACTTAATTCCCTAAACATTTTTCCCAAATTTCTGCTTTGACCGTCAAACATTCAAAATTTGCATTTTGGTCATTGTCTAAATTTTTGGGGTATTATATCTCTTGGGTCAATTTTTATCTCGACCTTCTTTTCAATATCATCTACTTTATTACATTTGTCCTTAGGTTCCAACATCTATTAGGACATACATAATAATAACACTTAAGTTAATAATGAGTGACATCAATCACACTCTAATTGACACCATATCAGTAACTTTGACAATCTTAATGACATGTAATCCTTTTTCAAAATTCAATTAAACTTGATTTAGGCTGAGAATCGGCTAAACTTGTAGCTCTGATACTAATAAATGTAACATCCATCTCCTGTATATCTTTCCGTACACGAGATATAGATGTCACGTCACTTTTAAAACAATTTTTCATTTGGAAACTCTTAAAAATTTTGTCTTGAAATTTAAAACTAAAACATTTTTATACAACAAGAAAACATCCGTTGAAACCTATTTCCCAAAGTTATCACTTTAAATACATTATAGAGCAATTTTTCTTAATTTCGATTACATGCAGTAATTTTTCAAAATAACATGATTGTCCTACTATTACTGATGAGAGTCAACCTTAGATTGATGATAGTTGCTCTTGCTCCCAGCACCCGACTAGTCTTTGTTGTTACCTACGCGTGAAATTAACACATATTAAGTATATACTTAGTGAGGCATAATATTGTAAAGAATTTGCAATTTATACATAAGTATCTCATGACTATTTAATGACGAACTAAATCGCATACTCCATAATGATCAGAAAAAATCCTTCTCAGTTAAACTAGAATTTTCTTTCATACGATCATTGAAATCATTTTTAGTAGCCCCAGCATACCTATCATTCTGTATATTTTCTCAATTATTCTTTATTTGTCCTATGTACGCTAAATGAGAAAGTACTGTACATATATTGCACCAAAGTGCCAGATGGTCCTTTATGTTTTATAAGTATCATGAGTGATACTTTATACACCATTAATATATCTCTACGTATTTTCATTTATGGCATCCTTTCATGCCAATTACGCATTGTTCTTCATCTAACTTGTATTAGTGGCAACTTTTTGCCAAATTGCACTATTAGGCATTATTCTTTTATCCTAAAGGCCTTTATCCTTTCTTCTAACTTGCATTATTGGCACCTTTCTGCCAAATGCACAGTTAGGCATTAGTCTTTTATTTTAGAACATTTTCTACTCTAATAATTATTCATAATACCAATTAACTCTTTCAATTCATTATAAACTCTATAGTTTGCACACGTAGTGCCAATTCATACACTTATTATGAATCTCTTAGTTTTGCACACAAAGTGCCCATACGGAAATTCATAAACTTATTATGAATTTCTTAGTTTTGCACACAAAGTGCCATACGGAATTTCACAAACTTATTATGAATTTCTTAGTTTTGCACACAAAGTGCCCATACGGAATTTTGTAAACTCATTATTAATTTCTTAGTTTTGCACACAAAGTGCCCATACGGAAATTCGTAAAATCATTATGAATTTCTTAGTTTTACACACAAAGTGCTCATACGGAAATTCGTAAACTCATTATGAATTTCTTAGTTTTGCACACAAAGTGCCCATACAGAAATTCGTAAACTCATTATGAATTTATTAGTTTTGCACACAAAGTGTCCATACGGAAATTCATAAACTCATTATGAATTTCTTAGTTTTGCACACAAAGTGTCCATACGGAAATTCATAAACTCATTATGAATTTCTTAGTTTTGAACACAAAGTGCCCATACGGAAATTCATAAACGCATTATGAATTTCTTAGTTTTGCACATAAAGTGCCCATACGGAAATTCATAACTCATTATGAATTTCTTAGTTTTGCACACAAAGTGCCCATACGGAATTTCATAAACTCATTATGAATTTCTTAGCTTTTGCACACAAAGTGCCCATACGAAAATTCATAAACTTATTATGAATTTCTTAGTTTTGCACGTATAGTGCCATTTGGTAATCACCATACATATATTTAGCAACATGCATCTATAACTATCATAACATATAAGTACATAATAAATGCACTCACCCAGCTTGCCTCGCTATTATATCCAAAAGGCAAATCTGACTACTCAGCTACTTTATCTTTGACTTTCATTTTGCTAGATTCGAGTGTTTGATTACGATCTACATAAGTATCCATTAAAGACATATACCGTACTAAATGTTAGTATATTCCCTAACATTTATAAATTAATAATATTCACAAGTACTATTATTTAAATTTCTAAAACAATTTCAGTTTATCTTATAATTTCTGTCTCAATAGTATCGGTACCCTTACCATGATAGTGATACTTCTATATTGTGGTACCGATACTCCCTTACAGTATCGATATCATTTTTGCATTATGTAATCAATGGTATCGATACCTTCTCTATAGTATCGATACCCCCTCTCAATATCGATTCCAGTTGCATCAGTATCGATACTGTTCAGATGATTATTCCAATTTTAAGCCTATAGTATCGGTATTGTTCTATCAATACCGATACCCTTACCCATATTTTTCATTTTTCAGCCCGATTCTTACCCAAATTTGGTCAATTTTCCTTATGTTTACTCCCAACAATACTATTAAATTCTTCTTTACTTATCCATACTAACTTTCCTTCATTTAGCTTATTAAAACATTTAAAATCTTCCAAGAACATTTCCATCTAAGAATCATACCACTTTTTCTAACATGTTCTTAATCACAACCAATGCTTCTAATCTCTTATTTACTTTTTTGACAAGTCAAATATACTAGTAAACATTAATAAAAACTCATATTCTAACATATCATTAAAAACACCATTTTCTTAAATCTAAATTATTTCATTCATCTCTTAGTTTTAATCTTTTTTTATCTTTCCTTAAACCTCTATCATGCTCAATATTTCAAAAAACAAACCAAAAAGGAAAGGAAAAACTTGCCGTATGGAACTCTACCTTTGGCTATGGAGGAGAGCTCTTCCACGGGAAAGAATGAGAGAAAATTACTTAGGTTTTTCCCCTTTTTCCATACTTTAATACCTTATTAAAATGAAGATTAAATTCATTTCCTTCCAAAGGATAAAAAAGTCCTCTTTATTCATCTATTGTTACAACTTAGTCTCAAACACTATTTCAAATAATTTTCTTATCTTTTATCATTTATTCAAATAAATCCTCAAATTTTAAATCTTTTCAATAAAGTCACTGATATGATTTTTGGGGTATTGCAACATTTTAGCAATTTTTTTATTATTTTAATTATAAAATTTTAATTTTGGTCAAAATAGTTTAATTGAGTGAAAATTATTAGTTCACTAACGATTAACGGTCAATACATATTACTGATGTGATACTTTTACATGTGTTAAATTATTAATATGTCACATATTATTTCACCTAAAATGACAACTAACATTTATCACATCTTTTAAGATAATGAAATGATATATACGACATCACTTAAGATGATGCGATATTTAACATATCATTAATTAAATATATATATATATATTACGTTAATAACATATATTAATCATTAGTCAATTAATGATTTTTATTTCTCATAAATTTTGATAAAAATCAAAACTTATAAGTTAAAATGCTCTAAAAAATAAAAAATAAAAACTAAAAAATACATTATTCAATTTTTTATTATAAAAATAAAAAAATTTAAACTAATAATAATCTAAATAATATTATAATATAGTATAATTTTCGATTTTGTTTTATCTCCATTCCATCTCTATTACGTGTGAGGGTAAATATCTCGTAGAAACCTACAAAATGGAGGGCAGGGAGAGGAAAAGAAAAATGAAAGAATATATATATATATGGAGAGAGAGAGAAATCCGACGTTTGAAAAGAACCCATAGATTTGTAGTGGTAGTAGTATCCAAGACCATGGCCCCTGGTTTTCCCTTATTTCTATCAAATTCCATCTCTTCACTCTTTCACATTAACCATAAGCCCTCCCCATTTTATACCCCCCGTCTCATTCAATTACCTTTTTCTCTTCACCTGACAACCCCTACGGAGATGCAATCTTTCACATCTCTGTTCTCAATCTGTACAAATATCCCAGCATGAATTTTACCCCAAAACAAGAATAATTGTTTTTTACTAGAGTCCTTTGTGTCCTATGTTTCTTCTGTTCAACACCCTGTTTCCACCCGTTCATCGACATTTCTTGGTTCTTTTCACCCTTTTTAATGTGCCCAGACTTTGGTCTTTGATTTTGAAAAACTTTTCAAATATGAAATACCCATATGATAGTTGATTCAGAATTCTGAATGGGGAAAGCGACTGAGGCTGATATAAAAGAGAAAGGGTTTAGTAAATTGGACCAGGAAACCAAACCAAATACAGAGGACACAAATGAAGTTTCCAAAACGAATAAAAATAGAAATACTATTTCAGATAGCCGGGGGAAGAATAGCCGGCGGCGGCTAAAGAAGATGATGACGTTGTCAGCGTCGGTGCACCCGGTTCAAAGGCTTTTCAATGCTTGCAAGGACGTTTTCGCCTCTGCCGGGACTGGATTTGTTCCTTCTCCCGATAAAATTGAACAGCTTAGCACTCTTTTGGGTATGATTTTTTTATTGTGTTTTATTGGATCCTAGGATTGGTTGACTTTTTCGTGTCGAAATGTGGTTTGATCATACCAAAAAATAATACTTAAATTTCTTGAGATTCTAATTGCTTCGAATTTTTTTAAACGACTCGATTTTGATTGATTTTTTCAGAATAAGCAATCATGAATTTCTGAAATTCTTTCAGCATTTGCTTTACTGAACAATATTTTCACACTCATTGATGAAATACTAATACACTTAAAAATGATTGCGTGCTCTTTCAAACATCTATTTGGTTGCATATGGAGATGATATGAATCTGATATCATAATCTGCTTGTAGTCACATTATTTAAGAAAAGCTGTAAAAATTTGTTGGGAAGTGTACCATTACTGTTGTTTTTAAATGTTCGTGTTATGGGTTGAGTGCATTGTTATTTATTCATGCCAGTCTTGCATATGGTCCATTATTGCATGTAATTTTTTGCCTTCTTTTTTTGAAAGTCTTTCAATAAATTATATTATAACTTGGTATCAGGTATTCCAGTCTTTCAGAATCAGATGTTAAATAGAAAGATATCTCATGTCTGCATTCTGTCTTTCAATAAGTTATAGGGTAAAGCATACATATGTCTTAACCGGATGGTGTTATTTTGTTGAATCCTCAAATAATTAATAATTCTATAACTTCTAATGATTGGGCTACTCAGTGCACCATTTTACAAATATCAATAGTCATAATTCAACAAAGCAGTCCACTATGGACCATTTGTGTACTTTAAACTAAGTTATGACATCGTAGTTACGTGTGATGCAATCCCTCTCAACATGTCTGTATTCCGCTACTTCGCTTATGTGGTACCACTTTAATTAGACAGTGCTTTTTGTTGTTTTGTGTAGATGAAATTCAGGCGGCCGATGTTGGTCTTACTCCAAAGATGCCGTTTTTCAGTCCGCAAGTAACTCGGCGAGCTCCAACGATAACATACCTGCACATCCACGAGTGCGAAAAGTTTTCGGTAAGCACAGTTTGTATCATCAAGAACTGCAGGCCAGGCCATAGTTTATGGTTCAAGCAATCCTAAATTGTGTTATTTTTAATAGGACTTATTTAATGCAGATTGGAATCTTTTGCTTGCCTCGATCCGGTGTTCTTCCGCTTCACAATCACCCTGGAATGACTGTATTCAGTAAGCTTCTCCTAGGGACTATGCACATCAAATCATATGATTGGCTTGTGGATCCTTCACAAAGTAAGTATTTTCTTCCCCTTTTGAAGATTACACGTGTTTATATCTGTTTTTGTGGGAAAAAGCAGGGGAGGCGGAGGTCGGACTCTAGAAAAAAAGTCAAGTACTTCATAATTGGGGTTAGTAAATAGAATCTAGAAAAAAGTTATAAACTTCATAATTGATGTTTCATTAGTAGTAAATAAAATTAGGGGCGGACAGAATTTTATGTTAGGCTTCATGTTATCAATAGTTGGATGCCTCATCCTTGATGTACATGTAAAGAAATTACTGATGCTACTTTTCTTTGGTCTTGTAACAGCGCCTCGACATCAGGAAGTCCATTTGGCTAAGGTTAAGGTCGATGCCGACTTGACTGCTCCATGCAAGACCTCCATACTTTACCCAGCTGATGGAGGCAACATGCATTGCTTCACTGCGGTGACAGCATGGGCGGTGTTGGATGTTCTAGGCCCTCCGTATTCTGATCCCGAAGGACGGCATTGCACTTACTACTCCGACTACCCTTTCATGACATTCTCGGGTACTCTTACAGCTGATGAGCAAGTCTCAATACCAGAAGAAGAGAAAGATAAGGTAGCTTGGCTTCAAGAGAGGGACAAACCTGAGGATTTGGTGGTTGTTGGAGCGCTATACACTGGTCCTGAAATTGTGGAGGACTGATCTGAGAGCTCTCATCAAATATCCTCTAATGCCAAAACATCATTTTTCTTATCCTTTTTGTCTTGTGGGTGGCTGCTGTTTCAGCTTTAGAAGCTTCTATTTAACTTTTCTTTTTAGTGGGACATGGGTACTCTTGCTTATTTTTTTTCTTACAGTTTTTTTTTGTATATAAAAGGGAAAAAATAACTGAAAAAGGGGGAAAGGTGTTGTAAGTGCACCGGATGAAGTTTGTTGGTGAATGAGAAAAATGTTAAAAAGTGCACTGTTAATATAGCGCAGCTTTCTTTTTTCCTATTTATTCCTTCATATTTTCCCTTCTGTCATTTTGTAAATGATTCCACTTGACATGATGATTTCTTTTACCCTTTTAGTATGATCATACCATAGCATAATTTTTCCCCATATATTTAACTAAGCACGTTATGTAACAAAGTATAATTTTATAACGTAATATGATCTTTAAATTTTAAAAATGTTCTATTATATTATTTGATAGAAATATAAGATTATAACTTTATCATTTTTTCTTTTTTTTTCCTCTAAATCCTAAAGGTCGTTGCTTCTTTTTATTTGACAAACGATAATATTAGTCTTGATACTAATTGTTAACTGCCTATATTCTATATCACTCCTTTATTTTTATATTATATATTTATTTTTTCTTTAATGGTTTTATGTTTCTAATAATTTCTTGTTTTCTAGTTTTTAATAGTTTTATCTTTATGACATATTTCTCTACTTTTTGACAAGTTTCAATTTTCTCTCTGAGTCGTTTGTCATTGCTTTCATTCATATTTTTCATCGTTGGATTTGATGTTGCCTCAACTAATCAAGATGATGTTTATTTGCTATCATATTGATCTTTGTAAATGACTCAAATTTTTGAGTCAACACTCGAATGTTGACTCAATATTTTATTTATCCGATTTAAAATAACATTGAGGTTCATCTTTTGAATTTGGGATCAATCGGGTAAGAAATTGGCCTTAATGGAGATAAAAAATGGATTTTTAAACTTAGGGAAAAAGTAAAGGGACCTAGAGTGCAATTTACCCATTTGGGAAAAACTTGGCTAATTTTTGAGGATTTCTAGTTGATTTTTCACATGGGTTTGGGAAGCTCGGGAAGACCACTTTTCTCTTTTCTCTTCCCTAAAACTTCTCATTTTTTTCTCTCATCTTTTATCTTCCTTCTTTCTTTTTCATCAAAGCTAGAGAAATAAAAAAACTTCCACCTTTCTTCATCTCATTCTTCAATCTAAAATCTAAAGGTAAGATTCATTGCCTTTCAATTAGGGTTTGAGCTTCATGAAGGTTTTTTAATGAGGAATTAAGCTTCGAAGGTTTCCTCCCATTATTTTCATAAGATTTTTTTTGTAGGCTAGCTTTTGTTTAACAACTTTCATTCGTCACTTTCATGTGGGAATCATTGGTTAGCTTTTGGGTGGTGAAAAGTGGTGCAAAGACCCCCAAAGAGCTAGGTCAAAGAGAAGTTGGTTCTTTGGGTAACCTAGAGATTTTTTTGGGTTGCTAGGAGTTAAGGTAATACACTCTAAGTCTTCCTTACTACTTGTATGCCATCTACATAAGTTTTCTTATTTATATAGGATGGTGAATCATGTTGAGGGTTTTGGGTGTTTGATGTTTGTGTTGGACATTTTCATGTTAGAGTGATGCAAAAATGATGTATGATAACACTTAATGACTTTCATAAATTTTAATAATCAATTTAGGTCTTAAAATAAGTGTTTCAGGTGACTTTGGCGATGTTTCCTGAGTGAAACAAGTATTTCGGGGTTGTAATATCATGAACAATATCAATATTATTCATATTCTTGTTGAAATTAGGCTATTTTATAAGAGTAGTATTGATATTGTAGAGGGTAATATCGATAATACTCATTTGAAAAATACAAAGGATGATTTTTAGGCCATTTCAAAGCAACTTTTGGTACCGATACTTAAGGGAGTATTAATACTACTTAAAAGAGTATCAATAGTACATGCATGGTATTGATACTAAGGGTATTTTAGGAGACTTTTGGGTCTATTTTGGGTATCGATACTCAAGAAGAGTACCGATACCCTAGGGTAGGTATCGTTACCCATATAAAGGTATTGATACCATCGATGATAATTGTTTAGAGAAGTTTAATAATTGTTGAGAACGAGCATGTAGATTGAGAACGTGAAAAATAAAAAAAATACTCTTAAAGAGCTAAAATTATTAGATTGCCCCTAGTTGTGAATAGTTCCTTATAAGGATTTGAAAATACCTCTGAAAGTATAAGACTTTAAGAAATGATGTAAGAAATTAGTGATTACTTATTAAATTTTAGAGGAGTCTCGAAATAACATTGAATGAGTAAATTGACCAAAACCCCCTTAGCCATAATAAGTGATACGAAAAGCCTAAGACTGCATAGGAAAATATGTTAAGACTATGATAACTAATTAAGTACTATTTTCATAAGTCTTAAAGATCTGGTATACTTGTGAGTGGGATAAATTACTATAATGCCATTATGAGCTAAAATTACTAAATTACCCTTTGGACCTAAGTGGAAGAAATAATCTATAATAGTACGAGTTGAATTGTAAAGTGTCTGATTAATGAAATGTGAATCAAGTGAGGAGTCTATAAATGTTGTAATCGAATAGTAATGCAAAGGTGAATGATACTTGAATAATAATACGAATGACTAGTAATGAGATGGTTAATGATGTGAGATGAGGTGATTATATCTAAAGTTAGAAGTTGATAATGAAGACTATATAATAATAAATAGGTTATGATATGATATGTATAACACTAAGGTTAGAGACCCAATATATTAATGGCAAGGCCCTTAATTTAGAACTAAGGGAACAATGAGACTCATACCATAGTGATGATAATGTATTAATCTCTGTAATGATTATAATAATCTTATGAGGTAAGATTCTATAAGATTTATGCCTTTATTTTATATTTTTGAAACAAGAAGGACACTCGAGTTACTTGTGTATGACGATTGTCGATTGTGTATGATGAGTTATCCAGATATCCTAAGAGTCACGACGAGGCAGTGAAAGGTTGCTATTTGGGTGATGCTTTAATGCTCATGTGATCTAGAACCATCCTTTACTCTAGAGGAGTAGGCCAGTCGGGTGTACGTTCCTAATGTGAGAGTAATATAGGTCTCACCCAAGAGGTACTAGCCATGTGGTGCCACTAGATGTACGTTCTTGATGTGAGTTTGACCCGGATCTCATCCAAAGTACCTAGTTGTAGTCTAGAGGGGTACAAGTCATGTGATATGTGTGTGACCCCAAACTACACTATGATACCTACTTGTGTGTTGATGAGTGTTTAAGCTTCATTACCCGAGCCTCATTAGGATGAGTGTTTGAGCTTTATAACCTGCGCCTCATCCTTATTGTTGAATTGTGATTGATATTATTATATGAATATTCATTGGATAGATGGCTAGATAGCATTGATGACATTGCTAGTATTTCATTTCTGACTATACTTGTTGGTATGCTTATGTTATGAATGCATGTAGTATAATAGAGCTATTGTGTAGCGGAGAGCTTATGAGCTCAATGTTTGGAATATGTTTTCATTCGCAGGTTACATATTATGGAGTATGGTAAGACATCGATATCATAGAAAGAGTCTCAGCGGAGTACCAAAGTACAATGATAAGGACTTGGTGGGCATGTAAAGGTAATGATTTAAAAATGAGTCAATTTTTATATTTTAATTATTTATTTTATTTAATTGGTTTTTAGGTCCTACTTTTGTAAGTTATTATGGTTTCATATTTTGTGTAAATATTTTAAAAGTAAGTATGACTTCAAAATAGAAAAGGTTAGTCACTTTGGCGATTGTGTAACACTCAAATCCATGGGATTTGAGTGTTACATTTAGTAATATCAGTGCTAAAGTTTACCTGGTTATTGGTTATTATGGTCGAGTCCTACATGCTTCAATGGTTGAAATGTGTACTTGTATACTAAGACTCTCACGGTGTTCGTGTATCGCCAATTAGTAAGTTACTATGTTTTATTTGAGTAGCATTTGTGTGAAAATGGATTCATGAGATAATTTTTTTAAGGGTGATTAAAGATCGAGAGAATGGTATTCATAATGTGTAGTAGTACACTCATAGATATACACATAATAAGGTTTGAGTAATAAATGTGTAAGGAAGGGTTCGAGCATTGAAGTTATTCCTTATCATGCTATAAGTGACTAAATATTATCAATACATAGAGAAATGATGTCATGTTAAGTGGTAGGGTGAGATGTAGAGGAAAATATGTACCCTAGCGATGGGGTTAGGTCAGGAGGTTGTGAGTTATTCTTTAGTCATGTTTGAATCAGAGAGTGCAATAGTAGCGTGGTGAGGCCTTTGGAAGAAGTTACATGGAGCGACAGCTGATGACTTTAGGAGTAAGGTTTTGTCTAATACAGGTTTTGGAACTACAAACTCAAATAATGCAGATTTGTTATGGAAAAATATGACAAATTCCATCAAAGAGGTGGGAAAAACACCCTGGGGTTGTCCACAGGGAAGGCCAAGGAACATAAAGAATCGTGGTGGTGGAACGACGAAGTCCAAACTAAGGTGAAGACAAAGCAAACTTGCTTCAAGGAGTTTCTATAATGCAATGACGACGAAGAAAGGTCGAGAGCTAAACATAGATACAAGGAGGCAAAGCGGGAAGCCAAGAAAATGGTGGCTAAAGCAAAGGATAAGGCATACGAGGAAATGTACAAGAGATTAGACACCAAGGAAGGACAAAACGACATCTTCAGGCTTGCAAAATCTAGGGAGAATAGGAAAAAGGATCTAGGTAGCATTAGATTTATTAAGGACAACAATGGTGCTCTTATAGCGAAAGATCATGATATTAAGAGGGTTTGGGGTAATTACTTCTTTGATTTATTTAATGACGGTGCCTCTCCCTGTAGAGAAAGTACCGTTGATGGGTCATCCGACCATCATACATCGGCCAATGACTGCCCTACAAGTAGGATTGGGTTTGAGGAAGTCAAAATGGCTCTTAGAAAGATGGGAAGGGACAAAGCTATCGGTCCTGATCAAATTCCTATCACTGTGTGGTTGGCCCTAGGAGAAGAGGGAGTTAAGTGGTTGACCAACATCTTTAATATTATTTTAGAGACTGCAAAGATGCCAGAGGAGTGGAGAGAGTCCACGGTGATACCAATCTATAAGAATAAAGGAGATCCCCAACGTTGTGGTAACTACAGAGGTATTAAACTACTCAGACATACCATGAAGCTATGGGAAAGGGTGATAGAGGCTAGGTTGAGACAAGTTACTAAGGTTTCGGAAAACCAATTTGGCTTTATGCCAGGCAGGTCTACCACGGAGGCGATTCATCTACTTCGACGACTTATGAAGAAATATAGGGAAAAGTCTAGAGATCTTCACATGGCGTTCATTGACCTTGAGAAGGCTTATGATAGCGTTCCCCGCGATACGATCTGGAAGATTTTGGAAATGAGACGGATCCCAACTATTTATATCCGGACGATACGTGATATGTATTGTAGATCTACTACATACGTCAGGACTACAGTTGGCGACACCGAGGCATTCCCGGTGGAAATCGGACTCCACCAGGGGTCGGCTCTTAGCCCTTACATCTTCGCCTTGATTATGGACGACATCTTTTATACGACACCAGACGGTGTACCATGGTGTATGCTTTTCGCTGACGACATTGTCCTAGTGGCTGAAATAAAATCTGAGTTGAATAGTAGACTGGCTACCTGGAAGACTGCTTTGGAAGAAAAAGGTTTAAGGATCAATATTGATAAGACAGAGTATTTATGTTCAAACTTCAGTAGGGACCAAAACGAAGACGATGTAGAAGTTTGCATAGAAGGGCACGTTCTCCCCCTCAAAGGATTGTTTCAAGTACCTAGGGTCTATGATATATAAAGATGGGGGTGTAGATGATGACGTTACACACCGTATAAAGGCGGGATGGCTAAAGTGGAGGGCCGCTACTGGAGTTTTGTGTGACAAGAAGGTGCCTCTAAAACTTAAGGGAAAATTTTATAGAATGGCAATAAGACCAGCACTATTGTATGGATCAGAATGTTGGGCAACCAAGAAGGATCATGAAAGGAGGATAGAGGCCGCAGAAATGAGAATGCTTCGGTGGACATACGGTAGGACTCTGTGGGATATGACAACAAACTCTGCTATTAGGATGTCCTTGGGGGTGGTGCATGTTTCCGAGAAATTGAGGGAAGGAAGACTACGGTGGTTTGGGCATGTCCTTAGGCGACTACCATCTGATGTGGTCAGGAGGGTAGAGTCGATTACAGTCGACGGTGCCAGAAGGAGAGGACGACCAAGGCGGAAGTGGGAAGACTGCTTGAGATCTGATTTGATGGATTTAGCCCTTACCGAGGACATGACCTCTGATAGGAAAGTATGGAGACTTAAGACTAGGATAGTCGAGTAGTGTGGGTCACATCTCTAGGGTGTATCATCTCTGTCTTCTTTTACTGCCTTTGTAGTAATTTACATAACTTCTACTTTTTTATCCGTTTCTGTTATTGGTATTTTTTTAAGGCTTAGAACTGGCCTTGCTATCGTTTGAATTCTGTGTATCATTCTCTCCACTTTTGAATTTAGTCGGGTCTTACGTTTCTGTCCATATACAAAGATTACTGCCCATTACAGACGCGCATATGACATTAATGATATTAATGACTGCAGATGAATACTGTACAACTATGTATTTATGTATTTATTTATACATGCATTGCATTTTATCTATATTTTTAATTTTCTGACTGCCGGAGGTCTTCCACGGAAGCTACTCTCAACCTGGCGTTGGGGGCAGCCTACTACCCTACCTCCCCCTTACCCCATTGCATATGGGAATTGGGTTATGTTGTTGTTGTTGTTGTTGTTGTATGGTATTCATAATGTGTAGTAGTGATGTCATAGAAATACACATAATAATATTTGAGTATTAAGTGTTAAGGAAGGGTTCGAGCGTTGAATCTATTCCTTATCATGTTATAAGTGATTAAATATTATCAATACATAGAGAGATGATGTCATGTTAAGCGGTAGGGTGAGAGTGTAGAGGAAAATATGTACCCTAACGACGAGGTTAGGTCAGGAGGTTGTGAGTTCTTCTTTAGTCATGTTTGAATCAGAGAGTGCAATAGTAGTGTGGTGAGGCTTCTGATCCTAATTAGTTGAATCGTAGGGTTGAGTCTAGTGTTGGAAAAACCCTTGTATGTTTTGAGCCTCCAAATGTGTTTCCCCTAGAGAGTGTCAACATTAGCGATGTATAAGGAATTTGAGGATGTGAGCGAGATTCGAAAACAAAAGGATGCATATAGTGAAGGTGTTGTAGAGGATTCAATGAGTCGCCAAAGTTGAGCATATTTAGTGTCTATATTAGCGGTTTCGTTTCCAAAATTTTGAAGATGAAATTTTCTTTTAGGAGGGGAGAGTTGTAATGACCCAAATTTCTATGTAAATACTCGAGTATTAACTCAATAGTTTATTTATTAGATTTAAATAAGCTTGAGGTAAAAGTAGAAGAACCTAGTGTATAATTTACCCATTTAAGAAAAACATGGATGATTTATGAGGATTTCTAGTTGTTTTTCATGTGAGTTTTGGAAGCTTTCACTTTCTCAGTTAGCAGTGATTGTTACTCTGTATTTTGAATTGTGCATGTTTTATCCTTCTAAAAAGAATGTAAAATTTGTCGCATTATTCCATGTATATGGAATTTGAATGTTTATCCCTCTACAATTTTTGTGTATGTTTATGTAACTGTTTGTGTGTATTGATGCAAATGAGGTTACATGAAGAAAATGAAAGATGTTTACTCTACCTGGATGCTATTACAAGAAAGCCACTTATAGCAACAGCAGAAAGGAAGCTCCTTCAACGTCATATACATTCTATTCTTGATAAGGTTTGAATATGTATATTTGGTTTTCCTTTGTGTTTTGAGTACCTGCTTGTATTTTCATCTTATTAATGGTTATTTTTTCTCTTATTTCTATAGGGATTTAAGATTATGATGGATGGACATCGTATAGATGACCTTCAGAGGATGTACTCACTGTTTTCAAGGATCAATGCTCTTGAATCACTCAGGCAGGCCCTAAGCTAATATATTCATAGAACTGGGCAGGCCATTGTTATGGATGAAGACAAAGACAAGGACATGGTGTCTTATTTGTTTGAATTCAAGGCCTTACTTGACTCTGTAATAGAAGAAAGCTTTTCCAATAATGAGGCATTTTACAACACTATTAATGATTCTTTTGAGCATCTAATTAACCTTCATCAGGTTACCATGCTTGTCCTTTGTATTTGGAGATATTTTATTTTTAAAGTGTATTCTTCTTTTCCATACATCAGTGAAGTAAAAATCATTATTTAGATCACCATATTTTAAACTTGACTGATGGTTGAACACTATTGTGTTTAATAGAATCGACCTGCTGAGCTAATTGCAAAGTTTCTCGATGAAAAGCTTCGTGCTGGTAATAAGGGTACTTCTGAAGAGGAATTAGAGGGTACACTCGATAAAGTTTTGGTTTTATTCAGGTTCATCCAGGTAGAGTTTGCTGATAAAAATGATTAAATATAGCTTTTCTTGAAATAACAGTTTTTTGTGCATTTCTTTCTTTTATTTCCCTTCAAGCAAATGCTAGAGATATGAATGATGTTTTTGTTGATAATTATGGGCAAGGACGTCTTTGAAGCATTCTATAAGAAGGATCTTGTTAAAAGACTGCTAATAGGAAAGAGTGCTTCTATTGATACAGAGAAATCCATGATTTCTAAGGTTAGTATATTCATCTTTTAATTAAATGACACGTGCTCTAAACAATAAAGATTGTATTAAACTGTTAAAGTTATGTTGGTACGATGCTGCAGCTGAAGACAGAGTGTGGCAGCCAGTTTACAAACAAACTTGAAGGAATGTTCAAGGTTTACCTCTATATCTTTTACATGTAAATTTGTAAAAGAAATCATTCCACATATTTTGCCATTTGAATTTCTAACAATGAATCTGGTAAGCTGCAACCTTTAGGGATTTGTAAACATGGACATGCCATATCTTTTATTTATTGGATACTTACTTGTGTACTAGTTAATGCACGATCCATCAACGTACAGAATATATGGGGTTTTTGATTAATTATTGTATCTGGAATGGTTACAATACTAACTAGATTTACTTTTAAACTCCTCCTACATCAGTCCTCTATCCGGAGACTAGGAGGGATTAGTACATTGCACACTTAGTCTCCTTTCCAGTTACACTTTCAGTTCTAGGATAGCTAATGATATGTGATTAATTTGAATATGATATTAATGCAATTTTTGTTATGAATTAGAACTATGGTTTATGTTTGTTATTAAATCGCCTAATGTTCTATGGTTATTCTTGTTGTATGTCGTTTTATGGAAAAGTTACACTTTCCCCCCAAACTGTCCTTGTATTTGTGAATACATACATGTTTTGTTTGACCCATGAGAACTAGTAATATAGACCTTAATTTTATTGAATGTAGGTTCTTGTTATTTTTATCCAGGATATTGAACTATCAAAGGAAGATAAAGTATAAAGTAAGAAAGGAAAAAAATGACAAATAGAACTTGTTGAAAAAGAAGAGGAGAAAGGACAAGGGACACCGAAGATGGAAAAAAAGAAAGAAAATGAAGAGGGAAAAGGAGAAGGGACACCACAAAGAATACACGGATGATGACATTGATGATATTCGCAAAGAATGTGTATCTTATGTGGAAAACTTCATTATGCCGTGATATTTTGTATCGACATATGATTACAATATTTTTGATAACTTAATGTGAATATATTGTATTCAAATGGATTGCTTATATATAATATGGTATATATATTTAGTATTATGAGGCATTAAATGTGATTTAATTTGATTATTTTTCAATCTATAATATATATATATATATATATATATATATATAATTTACGAAATACAATCACGATACACGAATGTGTGTCATCTTCATTTATGAAGGGGGCTTCAATGACATGCAATGTAAGTCATAAATGCGTGCCATAAATTTATGACACACAAATGTGTGTCATCTTCATTTATGACGAGGGCTTCAATGACACGCAATGGGCATCATAAAAGCACGTCATAAATGAGCGTCATAAATGCGTGTCATAAATGCATGTCATAGATTTATGACGCACAATTGCGCGTCATCTGATATTTATGTTGGTGGCTTAAAATGACACGAATTTGTGTGTCATCTGCACCCATAGATGATGCGCATTACGCGTCATTAAAGGGGGCTTTTTCTAGTAGTGGGTTTTAAAATGATATGTTGTTATATGAGTGTTTATTTATGTTTAGTGGTAAGATTTACTTGTCAAAGAGGTAAATGAAATATTAGAAGAATTGGATAGGATTAATAACATACTAGAAAAAGTGGTGTGATTCTTATAATTGAATTTTCTTGGAAGATTTTAGATGTTTTAAGAAACTAAACGAAAGAAAGTTAATATGGATAGGTAAATAAGAGCTTAATGGTATTGTATGATATAAAAATAACAAAATTTGACCCCATTTGGGTGATATTCGGGCTGAAAACTAGAAATTCTGGGCACGGACATCGATACTGATAGAATATTACCTACACTATAGGCTTAAAATTAGTAGAATATGTAGAGTAGTATCGATACCGATTCAAGTGGTATCGATACCAAGAGGGGAGTATCGATACCATGATGATGGTATCCATACCATTTGATCACAGAATGCAAAAATGGTATCGGGTATTGTAATAGAGTATCGATACCATAGTGGGGTATTGTAATAGAGTATCGATACCATAGTATAGTAGTATCGATACTATGGTGGGATGTGAGCACTATTTTCTTATTTTAATTAAAACCCATGCTAGTTCCCATGCTCCACTAAACCCTCACCCATACCCCACGTGAAGCACTTTCCAACTTGTGCCCATGTCTTCACCAATTCCAAGCCGATCCCCCACTCACCTGCAAAAAGACAGAACACAAGAAAGTGAAGTGTTTTTTTTGTTGTAACTGGAGATTTAACCCAAGTAAGCAGTCTGTAAAAGGATTCAGAAAATCCCACCAAAAATAAATTGTTAACTCTATTTCCAAGTAATAACAGACTTCAAAGCTTGTATTTACTTACTGTTTTTATTTTAGTTATTCGAATGTCTCTTTATTTTTAGATCTGTTCATTCAATTCTAGTAGTTGGATTTTTTTGCTCGATTAAAACCCTGTATCATATCATATTTTCCTTAAAATTTTTATTATAATATTTTTTAAAAGAAACCTGTATGCATGTTCGAATATGTACATAAAAAACAACCAATTTTTACATATATGTATTTTTATTATTTTTGAACCTAGTCTAAGTACAAACTAATAACAATAAATAAAAGTGAAAAATAAAAGGTTTAGATTAGAAAGTTATCTGGTTCGAATGGGGATTGTCGGAAATCGGGGTAGTCAAATGGTTTATGGCCATTTTCAGGAGGTTTCGGGTCGTTTTAGAGGCTCTAGGTTCTAAAATAGGCTTCGGATGGTTAGATCTAGGTTTGAGCTAATTTTGGGGACATTTTGGGGTTTTCGACCGCTACATACGACAACTGGTGTGGTGGTCGGATCTAGGTAGGGGTGGCCGGCCTACTGTCGGCCGGGGAAAGGGAGAGCATTCGCCAAGTTTTTTTTAATCTTTTTTTGTGTATTTTGGTTAAGAATTAATTAAAAAGGAGGAAGAGTTGGTATATATAGGGTATAATAATGGTCTATTTGTAACATAAAACCCTGCAGTTTTAGCGTGTTTTCACAAAATGGTCACTGTAGGGACTGATTTTGATATTTCACCAATTTATGATACATGCTTTATTTTTTTTGTAAATTAACTATTTTAGTCCTTCTAATTTTAGCGTGTTTTTACATTTTGATCACTGAACCTTTTGTTTTTATTTATTTTTATTTTGGCTCATAGCTTTATTTTATTTTAATTTAGCCCTTGTTAGTCTTAATTTAGCTTTTGAGTATTTATTTCTTACAATATGGTCCCTTTTTATTTTTATTTAGTTACTTTCTTTTGATTTCTTGCAATTTAGTCCTTATATTTAAAGTTTATCATATTTAGAACCTTAAACTTTTTAATCTTTTAGAACTCGATACTTTAGATTTTGACCCTTTTAATCCCCAAATTTCGATTAGACTTTTTAATATTGACATAATTAAATAGGTTAAATAGAGCCACCATTTTATCTTAGATTTCAAACTAGTTAATTTAGCGGATAATTCGAGTCGGGCCTCGCGTAAGCGCTCGAGAGACCATCTTGGTTATTCGATTCAATAATTAATTAAAATCAAATAAGATTAATATTATGGCCTACGTTCTTAGGCTTGAGTCCCTAGGTTCTTTAATTTTCATAATTTGAAACTGTAGGTTAGAAAAAAACCTTAACTTATTTTTAGAATAATTAGGATTAAATAAAATTTTGCTTGATTGCATTGTTTTTAAAACTTAAGCCAGTGTTCACTTATTAAGGAGTTAATCGTATATCCTCCACGATCGTGCTCAGGGGGTGACTACTGATAATTCCGTAAATAAGTCGACATCCTTTCCAAAACAATATCATGTTTTCTAAAAACAAGGCAATGTTCAGTTATTAGACACAATAGCAGATCTCCCGCATTTACGCTCGAGGCCGAATGCTATCGGTCTCGATAAACGAATACCCTTTTCAACTTTGCATCCTTAATGATTTCTAAATTAAATAAAGATCGAACTCAAATTTTTTATTTTTAAATATAGGGTAACCAACTAGGTAACAATTTCTAGGCGCTTGTGGGGGTGCTAATCCTTCCCCACGCGTAACTAACTCTTGAACTTGATTTCTTGATTTTCCTATACCCCAAAACTTGGTATTTTATTAAAATAAAATGTTTTATTAAAATCACCCAGTTTTTATGGTGTTCCAATCGCACCTTAAATGATTGGTGTCGACTCCTCACATTTTTAAATGATTTTCAAAGAGAAAACCCCTGAGTCGGTATCAGTCTTTCCCCGCCCGGGCGAAAAACGGTGTCGACAGCTTGGTAACTCCGCTGGGGACTTTTGGTTTTTTAAACAAATTGAGAGTCGAGCAAAGAGTTGGTTACCCTATATTTATTATTTGGAAATTACGAGTGTGATCTTGTTCAATTTATGGTTTATTATGTTCTTTAAAAAAGTTTTTTTCTTTAGTTAATGCTTACACTTCTATGAAATATTTAGGATTATCGCATATCATAGCTCTAAACCTGAGCTCAATTCCAGTTTACCTAAGTAGAGAGAAACGTCACACTTCATGAGGAGCATTGGGCTTTCTTGTCTGGGTCTGACAAAGTATCTCTGGAAAGCACCCTATATTGCCTATTCAGATATAAGTTTTGAGGTACAGTTTTAGTGGTGTGATCTCCTGAGTTGAACCCAATTTGTAAGTCTGTAATAGGCCAGAATCGGGGTCAACCTTAGCAGGTTGTAAGAATAGTTTGGGGAACCTTTGCTAGAATCCATCCTCATATAGAGAATTTAGTAAACCTACCCCGCTAGAGCCATATGGATAACCTAGGAGAACTAGAACGCATGCGGTTAGGATTATTAATTTTCTTTATATGCCTTATGGTTTTAGTCTCAAACTTTAAGTCATATTTAAGATTATATATATATATATATATTGACTAATCATTTCAACTAACTTGATTCTTGTTGTCTTGTTTCTACTAACATTGATTTTCTTTTGTGCACTCTTATTACATTTTTGCATGTATCATTGTCATATCACATCATTTCATAAATGGTATTGATTCCCATATCACCTAGTTATTATAAAAGAGCTTAAGGCAGTAATGTCTTCCGATGGACTGAGAATGCAATCAGTGTTCAGATCTGGTTCGAGTACGAACAATCGCAGTTCAGAGACAGCATTGTACCTATCGAATGATCAAAGAAGGTAATTATCCGAGATTTGTAGCACACTCAAAGACTGAGAGAGCAAAGAGATTAGGCTAACCAAGAATTGGCGCAGAGGCAAGAACATATTGAGCATCTCGAAGCACATCTGTTTAGTTTGGATGAAACTTTTCAGAACCCTTACAACAGTAATGGGTTATGTCTTCAAAAAGAAAATGAGAGGTTTAAGAAGAGGATAATGGAGCTAGAAGGAGCAGGGTTGATCCACTTATTTGCACAATAGATAGCCAGACAGGAAAATAAGGCCTTAAAAGCCAAGATTCTTGAGCTAGAAGTTATAGTATAGAGATGCCATCAGCGAATTCAGCGTTAGAGGAGAGTCGACCATGGACTAATCCAGAACTTGGGACCGTGCTACGGTAGGCTCATGATACTATTCAAGACAGCATGAAGCAATGGAGAGAGTAGTGAATTAGGCCAATGGTGTTTCTCGTCAAGTCTATGAATTATCTGAAGAAGCGACAACCTTAAGAGTTTTCGTGATCCTAGAATCTGGGGAAGAGAACGACGCATCATGACATTTATGATAGAGCTCGAAAGATTAGTGAATAGGGCAAGATTCTAC